ATTAATCCACCAAACATAATAATACGTGCCTGAATTATTTTTACATTTCCAACATCTATCTGACATATTTTTAAACATTTTTGCTAGTCTTGCTGGTGGCAGGTGCCATCTGTAAAACATTTTATATACATTTTCCTTATACAAAGTTGACATTGTCAATTTATAACGTCTATCCCATAACTTTTGCCATTTTTTTAGTTCTATATTATACCCAAAAGTTTTCGCCCATTTTATCATTGTTTCTTTAACTTGTTCACTTTCCATTTCCAGAATTAACAAAAAATTATACATTTTCTTAATTAATTTCTCATCTGAAGTTAACAAAATCTTATCAAATACAGTTTGTTCTTTGTAAAAGTCAAATAATTTAACGTCTTTTTCATATCTACTTTGCATTTGTAAATGTGCCCACCGCGACAAGTTGATACTCTGATTTTCCAGTTCTTGTTTAGATTTTAAATTCCCTTCAGAATTTAGAATATCTCTATATGTCCCAGTTTTTTCAAAATCTTCCAAATTTGGATGTACAAATGCTTCCATAGTTGACAACCACCCTGGAATTTTCATGTATATTTTACTTTTAATTTTTTCTCATACTGTTAACAATGCATTCCTTATATAGTGATTTTGGAAATACTTATGAACTCTATTTTTTCCATACCATAAAAAAGCATGCCACCCCAATTGTAAATCATGACCTTCCAAATATAACAACTTTTTTTTTCTGAGAGTTATCCATTCTTTCATTCATGTTAAAACAGATGCTTGATAATATAGAACCCACTCTGGTAACCCAAAACTTCCATTTTCCTTAGCATCTTGTAATGTTTTCATCCTGATTCTAGCTTTCTTTCCTTGCCAAACAAAATTTAAAATTAATGAATTTAAATCTTGAAAGAATTTTTTTTCAGGTTTTATTGGTATTGTTTAAAATAAAAATTGAATTTTTGGCAGTACATTCATTTTCACTGTAGCGATTCTTCCTAATATTGACAATTGCAAATTTCTCCATCTTTCCACGTCCAATTTTATTTGATTCAATAACTTTATATAATTATCTTCTTTTATTGTATATGCCCCAATATTTGACCTTTTTCACTATCTGTAACTCTGTCTTTTCTGACATTTGTTTTTTTTTATCTGTGAGGTTCTTGACTATTACTTTAGTTTTTTCTTTATTTATTTTTAATCCTGCCATTTCTCCATACTGTTCTATCTTTCCCAGTAGTTTAAGGACCGTCTCCAAAAGTTCTTCTAAAATAAATACTAAATCATCAGCAAATGCTTGTAATTTATATTTTTCATCTTTAATCTCCAGTCCTTTAATTTCTATATCTTGCCTGATATTTCTATTTAAAACTTCCAGAGTAAAAATGAATAACAATGGGTATAATGGACATCCTTGCCTTGTGCCTTTTCTTATCTCAAAGCTCTCCGTACAATCTCCATTCACAATCACTTTGGCTGTCTGTTTATTATATATTGTCCATTATAAAGTCCTGTCCAAAGTCCATTATTTGTAGTTGCTGAATCATAAATTGCCAAGAAACGTTATCAAATGCCTTTTGGGCATCTAGAAATATTAGTGCCAATTGTTTCCCTGGATGTAATTCATAATATTCTAATACGTCCATTATCACTCTTAATTTGTTTTTAATTTGTCTCTTTGGTAAAAAGCCATTTTGGTCTGGATGTATAAATTCAACTAAGTATTTTTTCAGTCTCTCTGCCATTATTGAAGTAAAAATTTTGTAATCCACATTAAGTAGCAAAATCAGTCTATAGTTTTTAATCTGTGTCAAATCTGAGTCTTCTTTTGGTATTAGAGTAATATTTGCTTCCATCCACGTAGCTGGAAGTTTAGCTTCCAACGAAAGTCCATTACAAACATCTTTCAATGGTTCACTTAGTATATCTTGTAAGTGTTTATATAGCTCCGCCGGTAACCCATCTGGACCCGGTGTTTTCCCTTTTTTTTGTCTTTTTATGGCCACTAATATTTCCATCATTGTAATTCTTCCCTCTAACATGGTTTTAAATGTCTCTGGGGGTTTTGGAAGATTATTCCCTTCTAAGTATTGAACAATTCTCTCTCTTGAAGTTTCCTCTTTATCGTACAATTCCTTGTAGTATTCCTTAATAATCTTTTTTATTTCTTCATTTTTAAATTGTAGAGAGCCTTTCCATCTACCAAGTTATATATCATTGTCTTCTCTTTCTGTTTTTTAAGTTTGTAAGCTAACCATCTTCCTGGTTTGTTTGCATTTTCAAAAAAAAATCTCTTTTGCTCTCTTTATCTGCTCTGCCACTTTTTCTGAGTCCAACAAATTTAGTTTATGTTTTATAATTTCCATTTCTCTTTTCAAAATCTTTTTCTGCGGATTTTTCTGTAGTTCTGATTCTAATTTTCCAAATTTTTCTTTTCATAATATGTAGTTCTACATATGCTTGAGGAGCCTCTCTATACGGAGGCATCCCTCTTTGCCAATTGAACAAATCATTAGTTGTAAACAGAGTGTAAATATAAGCAAAAATATCTCCCATTGGCAATTGCCTTAAAGGAGCCAACAGGAGGGGTGCAGATGGTCTATCAAATCCTCCATAAGATATTTCTTTTCTGGTGTGAGGGGGACTTAACTCCCCTCCCTTTTTATTTGCAGCTGTAAAAGAGCCTCTTGCTGCCTCAGAGCTTGCCACTTCCTCATAGGGCTGAGGAAGGGGGGGATAAAGAAGTGGAGGATCTGGATTTCGGATTTTGCATCTGCAGTGCATGGCCGCATGAGAGCGGACCTCCACTCCTCACGGCTAGTTTCTTCCTGCTTGGGGGACCCTAGATGGGTCCGAAGTTGCCCCAGAGAGGTGACTGTGAAGGAGGGGCGTTCCGTCAAACACGAAGCGACAGTAATCGCTTCGTTAGATCCAGGGAAAGCCCTCCGAACCGTTTGATTTCGGATTCGCGCCACCCAGCTCAGCCTCTCGGCGCTGTGAGGAGAGCTCCCGCTGCCTGCTGAGACCAGGCAGGCTGGGGGCTGGGTGGCATCGCACTTCTTTTCAGATTTGCACCGCCTGGTTCAGCCTCTCGGCGCTGTGAGCAGGCGCTGCCTGCTGAAACCAGGCAGGCTGGGGGCTGGGTGGCATTGCTCAGGTAACGTTGACTCTCACGCTGCTCATGGCATCCCCTCCTCCAGAGCCCACCAAGCCAGATATGTGAAGTAGGTGAGGACCATGTGCTGGCCACTACCAGGCAATGGTGCATTTCTTCATTCCTCACGAAGGGTGACACCTCTCCAACTGTTTCTTGCCTGTTTTTCTCCCTCCCTCATCTCAAATATTTTCCCACCACTCTATACTTGGAAGGAAGGAAAGAAGGAGAGGGAGGGTCTGAGGGAAGTCCTGCCTTAGTCCTGCCCTGCTGCCCTTTCACCATCCCCTTGCCCCCTCCTCCTGGCCTATCCTGGGGTCTCCCATCCTATTGCTAAGGAAGCTTTGGATACAAAGCCGGGTCTCCTCCCATGGAGAGGGAATGGGCCTCCCTCTGACTTTACCCTTGTACCCATCATGAGCAACCTGGCTATGGAGAGCAAGCACATCAGCAGCAGCTTGAGGAGGAGGTAAGTGCAGCTGGGCGCCTCCTTGAGGAAGTGGGGCTGGGCTTGGTGCTGCAGGTGCTCGAGGGCCAGGCTGGGCATTTGACCTCTCTTACCTACAGGCAGTTTTCCATGGATTTTGTTTACCCCAGACATCACAAACGGAGAGGTAGCAAGCCGGAGATTGTGGGGCTCTTAGAGGGAGGGCTCAGGTGAAAAGCAGACTGAGAAGCTGGCTGGGACTATTTCCAAAGTTGGAAGGGAGATAAGAACCCTGAATTGCCTGCAGGCAGTCTGTAAAAAAATTAGGAGACCTTTTTTTAGCTAAACATTGTTGGTGTTTTTAATTGAATTTTCCATTGTATCTGCCTGTGAAAAAGTCTAAGCTTAGCTCACCAGAAGAAGTGAGACTAGTTTTATCAAACAATGAGAAAAAATGCTCTACATATTATAATTCCTATGGACTTTAGCGCCTTCATATGCTAAGACCTGTTCATATGTGGATTGGGCATATAAAAAATAAAATAAGATTTAAAAAATAATTAAAATAATAATAAATTGATTTTAAAAAACACCCAAAAGGCAGATTAAATGGACCGCTAACTCTTTTTTTGCTGTCAGTTTTCTATATTTTTATAATGAAGTTCAAGATATATGCATTTAAGTGGTTGTATGCACATTGATCTCACCACATAGCTGTTTGATAGAGTGTCACACACATGAAACTGTACATATATGATATATACTCTCAGATGATGGTGCGTAAATAGGAGATATTAAAATTTCCTACTATTATATTTTACTAGCATAGCTTACATACATTAAAACTCCTTTGTAACCTTTCCTGTTTGATGAAGCACAAAGAAATAAGGCATTCTGTAACCAGGCATTCTCTGCTTCCAGAAGAAGCTAGATATTCCCAGGATTAATTAATTATATAGACTCCAATGCAGATCCCCAAACTACCTCATTCTGGGAATCACTTTTTCACAGATAGCATGCATGATATCTATGGACATCAGTATGTCACAGAAACCTCTCAAGTCTCCCTGCACCAAAAAGTGTCCTTTGGAATGTTAAAATGAAAAAATGAATACACAAACACATATCTAATTAAAATATGGTTGTAGAATAACATGAAAATCCAAGGTCATTTTATTTATTTCTTCATTATTTACTAATTACATTTATATGTCATCATTTTGCTGTCCAAAGGGACTTTGGACAGCTAAGGTCATTAAAATAAAGGTAGCTAGATATCAGTGGTCAGCAGAATTAAATAAAACCAGATTTATCCCATGGCTAAAACCAGATAACATTTAAATAGTAGGTTACATTGCAAAACACTTTCAAAAATGATTTTAAAGGCTTATAAACATTTTACTATACTGCATATATACTACCATTATACAGGACATTCCTGAAAAGGGAAGGACCAATGTTTACAGATCTGTGGTGAGCAACACATCCAAAGAAATGACCTGCTTCAGTGACTTTCCATTTCCAGAAAGCTGTCCTAACTATGTGCATCACTCCTTAGTCCTGGAGTACCTCAAGGATTACGCTAAATATTTCCACCTTCTGGACTGCATTCAGTTTAAGGTGAGCGGGAAATAGATATTTCTGCAACAGTCAGAATAAAAAGGACTGTAAATGTTAAGTGACATTTCAACCACTGTGATATGTTATAAATATTAGAATTCCACTATATTAGAGAGATTCCATAGAACCACAGTATCATAGGGCTGGAAGGGACCTGCTCTAGCATCTAGGCAGCTGTCTCTGGGAAGCTCATAAGCAGGGCATCCTTGCAGTCTGCCTCCTACCCCTATAAAGCATTTATTTATTTATTAGAATTTTATTCCATTGTTATACCCAAAAAATATAGTGTTTCTGATCATGTGTACAACACTCTTGAGTGGGTTATACCACATCTTGTAAAAACCTAAAGTTTACACTTCATATTGGCTTAGCTAGAAAAGGGACACACAGTCCCTACTAGATACGGATAGCAGTGAGAGATTTATTACTGAAGCAAGAATTTCTTCTGAATGCTTGCTACTCTTGTTAACTTTTATGCTTTTTGAGAATATCTTCCTTCTTATCTACTAATCCTCACAACTCTCAATAGAACACAAAATAACAGCAAAATTGAGAATGTCATTACTCTATAATAATGTCAAATTATTTTGTTTTGTTTGGGGATTATACAAGACAACAGTATACAGCATCAGAAAACATCCAGATTTCACAACTACTGGACAATGGATAGTCTACACAGAGACTAATGGAAACCAGACATCAACTGTCTTCGATGCAGTTATGATTTGCAGTGGTCTTTTTACAGAAGTTAATCTACCATCAGATTCTTTTCTTGGTGAGTTTTGAACAAATTTGCTAAATACAAATAAGCTAATGTGGTTGTGGTTCCAGCTATTTAAAAAAATTGTCTTGCTGTTTTGTAATGGCAGGTTGATTCAAAATAAAATAAATAATCCATGATTTGATCATGGGTGAAAAAGCCAAGTGCATTCTTGGTGGGGGAAACAAAAATGACCTTAAAATAGTACAGGACACATCCTGCTGACTTCTAGGCTTAACAAAGGTGACATGCTGTATGTGGATCTACCTTTGTGTCTAATTTAGAAACTTCAGTTTATACAAAAATCAAGAGCCAAACTGGTTTGGGGCAAAATCCACATGGGTGCTCAAATTATTGCACTGGCTGCTTGTTAATTTCTGGGCAAAATGCTCATTGTAAGTACTAAAAAACTTTAGTCCAGGTTGCTTGAGAGAATGTTTCTGTCAGAACCCATATCTGTTTGATTTCATACTTCCCTTGCTTCTTTCTCTGACCCAAATTCCATTCTCTTCTCTCCCTGGGTTCTGCCATATTCCTAGAGGGGAGGGGGGAATGATCACAGGTTTATTGCCTTAACTTCCTCTTTCACTACAATGTAACACTTTGCTTTCCTGCACTATTTCTCCCTGTAATTTCCTCTCCTTAAACTGTCAATTAGAAAAGAGGGAGGTAGAAAGGAATGCAGCCTCCGGCAACCAGCTTATCTCTGTGCTCTCAAGAGAAGGTACGAAGAATCGCCTAACCATCGTAGTTACAGCCAGAGCCGACCTGATGTTATCTCCCCTTTCCCACGATGGATTTAACACCTGGGGATTGGCTGGTTTGAACTTTCCGGATGAACTATGGCGTGGGGTTTGCTTGGGGACACTTTAAATTATTGATCTGAGGGGGGAAACCTCAGATCCTGTCTAGTATGCCTGCTATCAGTTTCTCCTAATAAAAGTTCCTTTTGGAAGAGCTTGCTTCCATGAGTTCTGCTTTCTTGGGATGAGGTATTTAAGTGGGTCCTGACAGTTTCTTTCCATAGCAACTTCATCACTGGAGAGCAGTGATGAGATTTACTTACAGAGGCTTCATCTGCCATTGACTCAGCATCAAGCCTTCTTGGCTGACACTTCAATTTTTTGGAATGGTTTTCCTGCAGAGTTCAAGGTACTGATGTTTCCGTTAACTTTAAAAAAAGTCCTTAAAACACATTTTGGTTTAGAATTGTTGCTTTATTGTTAATTATTCATTTTATTTGCTTAACTTGTTTTTTGGCTTCTAATTGTTATCTAACATCAAGATGATAAACTGCCAAGCGACTTCAGTGGCCAGCTATACACCAACTTATAATAATACAGGTAGTCCTCGACTTATAACAGTTCATTTAGTGACCGTTCAAAGTTAAAACAGCACTGAAAAAAGTGACTTATGATCATTTGTCACAGTTATGACCTTTGCAGCATCCCCTTAATCACACGATCAAAATTCTGGTGCTTGGCAACTGGTTCATATTTATGACTGTTGTTGTATCCTAAGGTCATGTAATCACCTTTTGTGACCTTCTGACAAGTGAATGTGGAAATCAGATTCACTTAATAACCAGATTATTAATTTATCAAATGCAGTGATTCACTTAACAACTTTGGTAAGAAAGATAATAAAATGGAGCAAAACTCACTTAAAAGTTCTCACTTAATAACATTGCGGTTGTAAGTGGAGGACTATCTGTAGTTTTCCCATTGTCCTCCATAGGGGATTAGCAGAAGAAACACGCCCAACCACTCTAAGATATTTCATAGTGGCATTCATTCTTGGGGCTATTCTGGACCATACTAAAATCACCTTTCTAGTCTTGGCATGTATAATTTGAACAATACATAGCCAGTGGGGAAGAATGCAGTGTTATGGAGTCTGGGCAAAAAGCAACTTTATCACATGTTCTTGCCATATGAGAATTGCTGCCCTCCCCATATGCTGGCTTATTTTCAATGGGAAGAATGACACTGATTCCAAAAGATTATTTTTCTCCCATGAAGAACAGCAGACCTAGAAAGCAGAGATGCAATTACAATGGGAATTACAGTAGGGATAAAGACCTAAAGTCACCTTATGTCACCTATTGTCTTAGTCTAGCCAATTTCCACCCATGGTAGCGATTTATGTTTTCAAAATTACACAATTCCTGTCATATCCTTTTTGCATTTCAATTTTTTCATAGATGAAAGATGGATCATTACAATCATTGCCTGAAGCAGAAGAATTAAAACAAAACAAGTTATCTGCCTCACAAGATGTCCTCTTACATGGAAAAAATCAGAAGGAAATCAATCCCATTTACAGTTGAATAAATCTGATAATGTCAGAACTTCAGTGAACTAGGACTATTTAGTCCAGCATAACATTGCCAGTGCTTCTTTAAAAAACTCCTATGTAGAATATCAAGGGAGTCAATATAGGAAAGGACATTTTAAGGTGCTGCAGAGAGGTTGCACTCACAGATGCTTTGAAGCCCCTTTAAGGGGATTAAATCCAAGCTTCTGGGCAGCCATCTTGCATACTATGTAATTCCCTTTCAATTAAAAAATGGGGCCATGGAGCCACCTCTTGTTATGGTACAGTATTTCCCTTAACTCTCTTGGCAGATAGCTTCTGATAAACACAGTAAAGTTTAATAAACAACCTTTGGCACTGTATTGAGTAGCTGGTAATAATGAAAAAAGCCTGTTTTATTGTCAAGGAGAAATATCTCATGAAGTGTGACATTGTCTTCTCTGTCCTTTTACAGGATTGGAAAACTTTAAAGGACATTACATGCATAGCTGGGAATACAGAGATCCAAAAGGGTTGGAGGGTAAAAAAGTTCTGATACTTGGTGCTGGGAACACCGGAGGCGATGTCGCTGTGGAAGTGAGCCGCACAGCTGCCAAGGTATCATTTGCTGAATCAATGACTGCTGTGCTCCTACTCTTCAGTAGGAAATAAGTGATCATCTTGGAATCATCAAATTTGCAGATGACACCAAGCTGGCAGGAATAGCCAACACTCCAGAAGACAGGCTTAGGATACAGGAGGATCTGGACAGACTTGAGCACTGGGCGCTATGTAACAAAATGAAATTCAATGGTGAAAAAAGTAAGGTTCTACATTTAGGCAAGAAAAACCAAATGTACAGGTATAGTATAGGGGGTACCTTGCTCAATAGTAGTAACTGTGAGAGGGACCTCGGAGTCCTAGTGGACAATCACCTAAATATGAGCAAGCAGTGTGCTGCAGCTGCCAAGAAGTGCTGAGCTGCATTAACACAGTGCTGAGCTGCATTAACAGAGGGATAGAATCAAGATCACGTGAAGTATTAATACCACTTTACAATGCCTTGGTAAGGCCACACCTGGAATACTGCATCCAGTTTTGGTCACCACGATGTAGAAAAGATGTTGAGACTCTAGAAAAAGTACAGAGAAGAGCAACAAAGATGATTAGGGGACTGGAGGCTAAAGCATATAAGGAAAGGCTGCTGGAATTGGTTATGTCTAGTTTAATGAAGAGAAGGACGAGGGGGGACATGATAGCAATGTTCCAATATCTCAGGGGCTGCCACAAAGAAGAGGGAGTCAAGCTATTTTCCAAGGCGCCTGAAGGCAGAACAAGAAGCAACAGGTGGAAACTAATCAAGGAGAGAAGCAACCTAGAACTAAGGAGAAACTTCCTGACAGTTAGAACAATTAACCAGTGGAACAACCTGCTCCAACACTGGAAGTTTTTAAGAAGAGACTGGACAGCCATTTGTCTGAAATGGTATAGGGTTACCTGCCTGAGCAGGGGGTTGGACTAGATGACCTCCAAGGTCCCTTCCAACTTTATTATTATTATTATTATTATTATTATTATTATTATTATTATATTATTATTATTATTATTATTATTATTATTATAGTTAAAATTTTCTCGTCTCAGTCTTCGTCACTTCGTACGAAAACGGTATAAAGATCACGTTTCTGTATCAGATAAACCACGAGAAAGTGAGAAGGAAAGTACTCCTAAGTATACGATTCACGTACTGTCTATTTGTAATTCATGTTGAAAATAATGATGTCATAAATCTTCTGAGTCGCTGACCATGACTGGAATAGCTATTTCAACAAAGCTGGTCTTAGCATATGCATCTACTCAAAGCTTTCATTCTTACCATGTTTTCCCAAAAGTAAGACCTACCCTGAAAATAAACCTAGCTTGATTTTCGGGGGTAGGCCTAATAGAAGTTGTTGCATAGTGGGTTTTTGGAGGCATTGACCAGACCGGTTTAATCCAATGTTATTTATTGCAACAGAAAACAGAACTGGCTTAACTGGCCGAATGACAGCTATTTATACTTGCTGCCTCTAGGTGGCGACCAATCAAATCAAATGGTGTTTTCCCGCTCAAACTTAAACTTAACTTTCCCTCCAAAACAGTTGGAGACAGGTTTAAACCAAACTACATCGACTCTTAATATCGATACATAACACCCCTTCCCCCTGGATAAAATGACTTCTTGTATACTTGATGTACATAGTCTTTGAGGTAGACAGGTGGGTTGCGAGTTCTGCCGGAATGCCACAAAGCTGTTTGGGGTTCCATCTCGACTTGCCAGTTGTCCATACTGGGTAGACCTGTGCCACTATAGTCGATAGAGTCATTGGGCAGCAAAGGTGGTAAACCTGTGCCGCTATGTGTGTCCGAGTCATTAGACAGCAGAGGCAGTGCAAAACCCTAGGTGCTCTGTCTCGGTAAGCACAGTCTCGGCAGGTGTGGGCGATACTGGGATAATAGCTTTGCCATGAGTGTCCACAGTCTCTTCTACATCTGCGTCTGAGCTCTGCTTTGTCTGCCAACACCTCAACTGGTCTATGTGGCATCAGATCACATGACCATCGTCCAGAGCCACCTCATATGATAGTGGCCCTGACACTTTTGTAACTGTAGCAGCCACCCAAGGTGCCCCCTGCCCATAGTTCCTAGCCCAAACATGCTCACCCAACTGTAAATTCCGGGGAGGCTTGGGTTGCGCTGTTTCAGCAGCTATCCTGTCAGGATGGAGGCGGTCTAGCTTCGTCGTGAGCTGCCATCCCCACCTTAGCTCAGCTGGGCTGGGTTGTGGTGCTTGGAGTCGTGTGCTGGCATAGAAGAAAGTTTGCCAGGTGATGATTCCAGTCTCCCTTAGTCAGTCTTTTAAGGGAGTCTTTCGTGGACCTTACCATCCATTCGGCCTGGCCGTTAGAAGCTGGATGGAACGGAGCCGAAGTAGTATGTCTAATCATATTAGCATTAAGGAACGACTGGAATTCTGCTGCTGTGAATTGTGCCCCGTTGTCAGACATAATAATATCCGGTAGTCCATGTGTGGCAAATAGCTGGCGCAGTTCCTGGATGACCCTAGCAGTAGTCATAGATTGGACAGGCACTACCTCTAACCATTTTGAATAACTGTCCACAACAATGAGGAATACCTGCCCCTGACATGGACCCGCAAATGTGCTCATGAAACCATGGGGCTTGTGTGGTCTCCCAGCGGTGCACAGGTGCCTGGGGTATTTCTGGATGGGTCTCTTGGCAGACCTGACAGCTTCTTACTTGAGCCTCAATGTCCTTGTCCAGGCCAGGCCACCACAAGTAACTTCTTGCAAGTGCTTTCATTCTTACGATACATGGATGTCCCTCATGCAGGGATTCTAACACTCTGGCTTGCAATTTGGGCAGGACAATTACTCTGCTTTCCCACAGCACGTAATCCTTGTGGGCTGACAGTTCATCTTTTCTGCAAGCATAATGTTGAAACTCTGGACCTGGTCTGTTTTTTGGCCACCCCCTCAATACCCAGTTGAGAATGCGGCTGAGTGTTCTGTCAGTGGCAGTTTCAGCAGCCACATCTCCCATGTGTAAGGGTGTCTCTGGAAGATCCTGGATTGCCAGGATGCGAGCTGCAGGGGCTGGATCTGGATCTGTTTGTGGCAGGGACAGTTGGCTGAGTGCATCAGCATGGCCCATTTCCTTGCCAGGCTTATGTACTAGCCTCTATGAATAGGCAGCCATAAAGATTGACCATCGCAGCATCCTTGGTGACAGGATCTGTGGAGTCTGCTTATCAGCCGTAAAAAGACCAAGCAGCAGCTTGTGATCTGTAAAAACTATAAAGTGTCACCTGTATAAGAAATCATGGAATTTCTTAATTCCTGCGACAATAGCAAGAGCTTCTTTGTCAATTTGAGCAAAGTTCCTCTCAGCTGGAGATAATGTCCTAGAGTAGTAAACAATAGAGGCTTCTCAACCATCTGGTATTTGATGACTTAACACTGCCCCAATGCCATAAGGCGAGGCATCACATGCTAATGTCACTGGCAAATTCTCGTTAAAGTGAGCTAACACGGAGCTCGAAGATAGCAGTGATTTGACTGCTCTGAATGCCTTGTCATGGTTGTTTGTCCACACCCAAGGTGCTTTTTTGTCTAGCAGACGGTGGAATGGCTCTGCCAATGCTGCTTTGTGTGGCAAAAATGAGTGATAAAAATTTAATAGTCCTAAGAATGCCTGTAGCTCCCCCTTAGATTTAGGTCTGGGGGCTTGCTGAATGGCTTTGAGCTTAGCCTCGGATGGATGGAGCCCAGCTGCATCTATCCGGAATCCCAGGAACCCAGTAGAGTCCATGCCAATTTGGCACTTGTCCTTTTTTAACTTAAGTCCCACCTCACGGAACCTTTGAAGTACTGCCCTGAGTCGTTCTGCTAGGACTGCAGCTGACTCTCCTGCAATTAGGACATCATCAAAATAGGGGCAGACGCCAGGTATGTTTTTTAGTGTCCTTTCCATAATGCTTTTAAACAAGCTGGGGGCTACACTTACCCCAAACTGTAGGCGATGTACTCGGAATGCCCCTCTGTGGGTGATGATGGTCTGCGCTTCTGCTGTAGCATCATCAACTGGCAGCTGTTGGTATGCTTGTGCAAGGTCTAGCTTGGCAAACAGATGGCCTCCTGGGAGGGAGGCTAGAATATGGCTTACCACTGGAACTGGGTAAGCGTGCTGTTGAAGTGCCTTGTTAATTGTACACGTAGTCTGCACAGATGCGGACGTCCCCATTCGGCTTTACTAGGGTCACTATGGGAGTCTCCCACAGGCTACTGTCCATGGGTTGGAGCACTCCCTGTTACACTAGTTTGTCCAGCTCCACATCAATTTTTAGTTTTAAAACGAAAGGCACTCTGCGCGGTTTAATTCTAATTGGGGTGACTGTAAGGTCAAGATTTAGGAAAATGGGTGCCCCTTTGTATTGTCCTAGGTCAGAACTGAACATATCAGCATAATCTTGGCATACTGCTGCCAGGTCATCTGCTTGTGTGCGATGGATGCCCGTTACACGGATGCCCAGGGCTTCGAACCAGTCCAATCCGATGAGACTGGTGCGCTGACCATCGATGACTACCACGCTGAGGGGACTCTCAAAGTCTTTGAATTTGACCATTACAGTGGCTTCACCCCTAACAGCCACGTGGCAATTTTGAAAATCAGTCAGGATGAGGCTTGACGGTTTGATTTGAACTCACCTCTTGCCATGTCTACAAATATACTCAAAGGTCGTTTATGAAATGATAGATAGAGCTGACTCGGTGTCTAGCTCCATTGAACATGGGACCCCTTGAAGCTTAACTTGAAGTCTCAACTTCTCTTTGAGGGGGCATTAGGTTCCCGTCTGCTGAATAGTCCTCCTTCCTGAACAGTATCCAACCCTGTTCTGTCCTGGAGCCCATCTACCTTTCTGCAGTACATCTGCAGGGTTAGCTTCTTTCTGGCGACCTCTACAGACCCTGGCAATGTGGCCTTGCTTTCCACAAGCTTGGTACATGGCTGTGTGAAACCTGCACTCAGTTCTTTTATGTTGTCCTCCACAGCTAGTG